GTACCTCGTAAACAAGTGTATCTAACCTCGTCGGTTTCGTAGCTGAGAACGCGCGGTGATAACTGGTATTCTTGTAGTGCTCAACCTCGTGTGTATAGCGGATTACTACGCCAATTACGGTTTAAGCGTACAGGGTCCGGAATGCAGTGGTTGCTTCCACCAGTGACACGTCAAACGAAAACCGGGACACTATGACCCCTATAAGATAACTGGACGGATTTGAGATCTGGTCGTGGACATAGAAATGGGGTACAACCATCGGGTGACGATGTTGTACTGATCGTGATTTGTGCGGACTTATAGACATCGTATATTCTTTCGCTCTCGGTTTGCCAGTCCTCTTCGTCATCCTATAGGATGCAGAGGCTATCAATCCAAAGGTAATGTATGCCGAGCTGTCTACCAACCGTAAAACCATCTTGAAAGGTTCGGGGTAACGCTTCCCAGTCAATAGCAGTCATGCTTTCGGTAAGTGTTTTATGTGCCGTGGACAATATTTGACTCCCTCCCCAGCAATGACTCAAGGCGGTATACAAATGTGTGGCTCCCGGGGTCGGCTCCACTAATCTGACGAAGGGGTCTTCCTTGTTAGCATTAAAGTACAACAAACGGGTCGGTGAATAATTAGGACTAGAAATTCTGCACCCGGAGTGTTGCTGTAAACAGGTTTGGAACGCTGAAATCGCAAATGAGAAGCATTCTACCGAACCGGCGATGAGGGAGACTTTGTCCACGGTTGCGAGATTCTCCCAATGTTCGGTATGCTCTTTGAACAGATCAGTCTTTAACTGCGTCTTCATGACTCTACGAGAGCTTAAAATTTGGTTGTCGCGATCTCCCTCTTAGCTCTACTTAGCATTACCATACCACATGCTTGGAGGAATATTGATATATGGCCATATATTGTATATATAAACGCGTAAAGTACGTCTATGATCGAAGAGTGTCGAAGTCGAACAGCGAGATAACTGGACAACCTTCATTCTCCAGATGATAGATATATACACACCTCTCTCTACATATAGTTCGAAACATGGTACTCCACCCAGGGCATCATTTACAACTACTACAGGCGGTCTGAGGGGTTTTAGATAGATTGTAAGATTGAACTCCATCCTGTCATGTTGCAGAAAGTTCTTGAGCGCATCGAAAAGGACGCCACATCGGCCACCTTTCTATGAGATAGTTTTCAGCCCGTGGTACCTGTAAGTCTGTATTCTCGGCGGTAAGTGGTAGCTGGTGAATTGGGATTAAGGTTATGGCAAACTGCACAGTAGCCTCCCGCTCGTTGTCCAATGTTCTTGATATCAGCCATAGATCTTGGGGTTGGCGACTGCAGGTCGTCCATGGATATCGAGCGAGGAGTAGCCGTAACTACGTTGTTAAAATATTGATCAGTATTCGAATTATAGCATGCGATAAAAGTTGTTGTTTGTTATTAGATTCTCCGTTGGGTTTGGTCTTTCAGGTACAACCATGCTGCTTGATCAGCGACTAATAAGAACTAGTCCTATGTAGTTCTAGTTCTAGAACCTAGAACGTGGTTCTTGGCTTTGCTACCTCCCACTCTGTAGTTCTAGTTCTAGTTCTAGAAATAGAATATGCTCCTCCGTACTATATTCACCACAACCATCATTCAGTCCTGCGATTGAATCTCTTTGGCAAGGAAAAGGGTATTAATCTCCTTGCATCTGCTCTGCTTCTTAGGCTGCTTTGCTGTACCTCTTCTAAAGGTCTTGGTACCGTATATCATCGCACGTGTCTCTCTATGGGTATAGTTCTAACAGCCCATTCCCATACGCTTCAGCATATGGCTGTCTCACAACATCGTAGCCACCAGCACTAAAATAGACCGTATTAACATTACATCTAAGGTTTACCGTACTTTGCATGATGTTTCACGACTGGCCTCACGGGAAACATCTTTCCGACTCTCACAGCCAGCGATTCTGGCCTACAACCACGAGAAACAACTCGGCAACGCTCGATCAACCAATGCAATTGCACAGTATAAACGCAAGCTTTACCAAGCTCACACAAGTCGGTGGCCCAAACCAACATACTGCGGCTTCAAAATGAATTTGGATGGCGCAGTTGGATGAAAGTGGTGCTTTCTGTCAGCAGCAGCAAGTATCTTACCTTTTAAGCTTATTTTAAGAAGCGAGGCTGAGCCTTAACCGGAACCTCAACACCCGCCTCGTCAGGACGACCAATCATTGCTGATGTTTCAAACAAAAAGGACTAGTGCTCTATGATGACAAAGTCAGCAGTGAAAATAGTACATGAGGAAATTGAGACATTGTTGATATATAATAATGCGGCGTTGTCGCTGAGATAGGATTCTGTACAGTACCATCATTTCATATCATCTCCCAACCACATATATACCTCGCAGTCTCAAACCTTACTTCCTTTACACATTCGTTCAGTGTTTCGAGTATAGAAGCAGAAGTGATTCTCTTAGTCTCAACTCTTCTCATTTTACCTTTCACCAGTCATCATGCGTTCCATCATATCAACAACCATTACCGGCATCTTCATAAGCTCTTCGCTCGTCTCAGCAGCTCCCCTCGAGCAACGCAGTTCAGTAGAACGTTTTTCCCTAGATAACGGGTTTCCCACCCCAAGCCCCGAAGCTGTGAAACAGATCCAAAGAGAAGCCCTCGGGACCCTCTCTAACGCCAAACCGCCTGGCTCCGTCAGCGCTGAAGGCCTCACAAACCTCAAACTCGTCTGCTTCAACGAGATCTGGGAAACCTTCTACTTCGACGAGCTGATCAAAAACATCACCAACAATGTGCCCGGATACGACAACGTACCAAACCGAGACTTCGTCCTCGAGACCCTTGAGCACGTCAAGGCACAGGAGCAGCTGCATGCCCTCAATGCCTGCAATGGCGTCAAGAACTTCGGTGGTACTCCCATCCAAGCATGCGCCTATGATGCACCGGTCTCCTCATTCGAAGAAGCTATCTCCTTCGCATCCACCTTCACCACCCTCGTCATGGGCACGCTTCAAGACGCCATCTTCCAATTCGCCAAGCACGGCGACGCACCCTTGACCCGCGGCACCGCCTCTTCACTAGGTCAAGAAGGCGAACAAGACGGCTGGTACCGGCTCCTCCAGAAGAAAACCCCTTCCCAGCTCCCCTTCCTCACAACCAGCATCCGCGATTTCGCTTTCAGCGCCATCCAGCAATTCATCGTCGGCGAATGCGACGCCGTCGCCCAAATACCGCTGAAAACCTTCAAGCCACTTCGCGTCCTCACCACCGCCGAAGATAGGACAATGGAACTGAAGTTCAGCTTCCCTATCGCCTCGGACGCCACGCTGAACGATATTGGACATCTGTCGCTGGCGTATATCAATCAGCAGAACGTGCCGATTGTCGAAGAAATTACACATGCGACCAGGGTCGGTGATAGCATTGAGTTCAAGGCGACGTTCCCGTATGAAGAGAACTTGATGAACGGACTTACTATTGCAGCGGTGGTGCAAGGTGCGGGCGAGTTGGCGAATGCGCAAGCTGTCGCAGATAAGACTCTGTATGGGCCGGGTTTGATCGTGGTCAACTAGAGAGGTGTGCAACTCCCTCTGGGTGAAGAATCTTTGAGGGTCGCTGTGTTTTGGTTTCTATTCCGTGTTTAGCGCTGCACTGCAGGTGTCTTGCGTCTCATTTTGCATTGGGCGGAGTTCGGTGTGGAGGTCTGGGTTTCATTGTCTTGTTTCTTAGTATCTCGTCCTGGTTGAGGAAAGTGTTGATGTATATAGGTACTTCTCGGGGGAATCGAAATAATATCGAATTACCTTATAGTTCCAAAAATTCAGAGCTAGTACTTGTGTGGATTGTGTCAGAGTTGTGCTGATTAGCGCAAGTGTCTCTTTTCCCATGATAAGAGTTGTGCCGCTTGATCTTGCTGTACGCTTGCTCTCTGTACACCAACGACATATCAACCAGTTGGATCTCGTACATACCACACTTTATCATACTCACTTCTTTGTTTTTCAAACTTCGGTCGGGGTTCACTGTACACTTACTGTACACATAACATCACACAACTAAATCCCACTCCGTACATGCCGAAGGGACATGTCCTAGACAACCTAATTTCCCGATCAAATGGCCGCAAGTCCATAGTTACAAATCAAATATCTCCTGTGCATTCAAGGTAAAGCGTACAAGAAGCCAACGATGAATTGTGAAGCGCAGGGATATGCGTATTCGTTGTTTTAGTTGACAGCATACGGCTAATTCTGACTTTGGAAATTTGATGATATCTCCTCTCCTCTATTACGGCGACGGGAGCTGACGCCAGGGTTGTGCAGTGAAGGTTTTGACTCTGGGATGCGCATCCCATAACTTTTGTCGCGCGGCAATTAACTAACGCCCAAGTGGGCATAGAATAACTAGGAGTTTCACACCTGAGGAGAGGGGGGCTATAGTTCATCTCCAAAGCGCTTCTGCTCATATGTTGGGCTGAAATGTGGGACTACGAACATAGAGGTCATGTATGAATAAAGGTTATATGGCCATTTGCGAAGCCAATAGCCAACAGAGTAGGTCAATAAGACACCAGGCTCATACAAACTAAGAAGTAGGAGTGAGGAAGACTATAGTGAGCACATTTGATAGTGAACTTGATAGATACTGTAGTACTTGAAATAAGAGAAAAGAAATACAAATGGAACAGTGAGCGGGAGTAGTTCTATGGTAGCATGAGGCTACCCCATATTCCCGAGCTTGATTCTTAAGCTATGTTAAAGAAATAACAGTAAAACAGTTTCCAATATGCGCTCGTGGTGCGACAACGATGATTCTAAAGATTTAAGATCGACCGGTACCGGGGACGGGGGAGGCTTAATAAGCTTAAAAAAGAACTAAGCAAGGAAATACCATAATTTAGCGCGCCTTGGCATCGCCTTGCGGGCCACGAAAACCACCTCCTGAGGGACATAACGCAGCAAAAAGGGTATTTAAATGGAAAAAAGCAAAAAGTGATGACGAGGGTGGGACTCGAACCCACGCTCATTTCTGAACCAGAAGATTGCTAGATAAGCCTTAATCTGGCGCCATAACCAACTCGGCCACCTCGCCTTAAGATTTGTCGGAGAGCGGTTAGGTGTCTTGCGCTAATATAGATATTTTTGGGGGTCCGTAACCAGTAGATCTTTCACCATTACGACAGTGACCACAGGCCAATAGAAACACAGGGTGGACAAGGCGGTAAAGCGCCTCGCCCCCTTCCCTCTTTTACCCCTGGTCTCCACCATTTTTCTCTTCTTTTATTATGTTCTCTTTGCTACTTAGGGGATTATGAAGTGCTATAGTACATTGTTCAGTTTCGTTTTTCTCCGCTTCGCAGTACAAGTTACTGGCTTAGTAGAAGTTCAGACCCTTCACGTCCTCCTGACTGCGAACTCAACACTTCGAATTTTGACGAGTTCCCGATGCAGCAGCACAACACTTTTATAACGAATATAATAGAGATCTTTATTGTTACTATCTCCTTATATTTGAATAGTATCTTGCCAGATTACGGCTTATCCAACAATCTTCTAGTTCAGAAATGAGCGTAGTTTGTGTCGTATTCAAGTATCATAAGACACCGGCCGGAGTAACAGCATTCATAATCAATTCAATATGTTCCATGCAACAGTACAGTCGGATAATATAGACCCCTAGAAATTCAAAATTCTATTCAGCATTCACTTCTCCAATTCTCTTCTCATGGTCTTATTTCATCGTTCTTAGAAATGCATTCTCAAGTTTACTACTTCCGGCGGTTTAAAGTCAACTGGGGCGAATGCGACATACGAAATACAGAGTGTTGAGCGCCTATAAGACTCTACATCTATTTTGTGGAGCACGCTCCACAAAATTTCCATCTTTCAGTCTTCACAGTAACTCGGCTCTCCTCCAACCATTCGTATAATAGAATTTGCACCGATATCCTGCTCGTTGAAGCAAACTCTCATTGCCTCAGTCCATACAATCGCGCTCATAAGCTCATCATCGACGGAAGCTCAATTATCAGAGAAACTTGTCCAACTGACTCACGAAGTTGAAGACCCAAGCAAGTTTTTGCAATACGTTTTCAAATCTCTGTTAAGTGGAAATCATTTGAAGAGACCGGAACCCTAAGACAGAGAAAATACTTCAACTGTCATAGTTACCGTCCCAGAAATTCTATCATGATCCAACACTATTTCTAGTAGTCTTATGTGGAGACTACAGTATTTCACCAGCAATCATGGTAGATCTGTATGCTAGGACTAGATTATCATAAGAAGATTAGCCACATCTATATAAGCCTTGATATAAATCTTACCTTTACGCTGAAGCACGATGTAGTCCTTCCTTCATCCCATGGCTATGACGAGTTACACTGAGCGAATTGGTGGATTGGAAAACATTTAACATTACTTCAAACGCTACGAGAATCAGTCACTACAATCAAGCGATCATCTCGTGTATCTCTTAGAAGATGGATTCAAGGAATATACATGCCCCGCGGTTAAGGGAAATCAGATCGGCTGGGCGGTTGCGCGGTACACGCAGTAAGATGGAAAAACCGTAAGTCAACATTAGTGCATGGCACTCAATATTGATCTAACCATTTATGGTGTTTCTCATAGCGAACTATCCTCATACACTGGGCTGAACTGAAAACGTAATGCATATTGGTGTTGTTCAAACTCTCGCTCGGTGAGTAAAACCTCACGCTTGGTATCAACGCAGCTCAATAGGAATAAGGACCCGGAATGGACGGTAGTCACTTTTTTCATCAGTGAACTGGTCCATGTATTCATAAAACGCAAGCAATCCTCAGCATCCTGTTTATATGGTAGATTTATCGAGTAGCTACAGTATACACTCTGCATTTCCCGCCTTAGATTAGTTTGTGTGTGGGTGATCTCCGTCTTGAGAAGGTACGACAAGGGAAGCAGGTTGAGAAGGTACGATAGGGGTAGCAGCGAACATGAAAATTCTCACCCCATCGTACATAGTCCCGATAATAAATTAATCACTTACCTTACCCAAGATCAGTTGGGCAAAATATCCGAACAAAACAACTACGAGTTGAGGGTGAGGCTACCCAGCATGAGATATGAGCTGAGAGACCTAGAATGAAGCGGCGTATCAAGGAGAGGGCGCACGATGCTGCCGTAGCAGCAAGAACAGCAGCAGCAGCAACGGAAGCAACAGCAGCATTAGGGAAAACCGTAGTGGTAGAAGAAGCCAAAGCAGCAGCAGCTCCCTTCTCGCTCCCTCCCCATCCTCCTCTTCCCCCGCCCAGAAGAAGTGTGCTGGGAAAACCCCTTCGTGAGGCGTTGTCATGGCCCTCACCGTACGAGGAAGAGAAGGAAAGAGGAGCGGCTATAAGGGCCCTACAAGGAGAACGTAGTCCGCCACCGTTCCCGCGATCCTGATAATTCGGGGTAAAACTCCGATTCTAGTATTGACTTTCGGCTGGTCTATTCTTCGCGGGGAAAGCTTCTCTCATTTACTAACGGATGGAACCGTTTTAGACGAAGACGTTGGTATTTTGTGTTTGGCCTAACCGCAAGGTAGCCGTCGGAAGCTTGCTGGATGAAGAGGGTCAAGCAACGGATTAAAGCCCCGAAGCAGATTCACCCCATACTATACTACGAAGACATCGTTGATTGTCAATATGATTAGCATGCAAAATATCCTTTGTGAGGAATTTTGTCCCTCAGCAAAGCTCCACCTTGCCGTGGTGCTGAGGCTTACCGTCCCCATCGATACAAGAATATCGGGACGAACAAACGGAGCTAGTCGAACGGATAGAATGACACTTCTGCATTATTCTATCCATATGTTAGTGAACAAAATCCTAACAGTTCGACAAAATTTACCAATCACTGTCTTCAAGAGCCAATAGCCAAGGTTGAAACCAAACTCATTTCAAACTTGATGCCGACCTCTAGACAGAAGATCAAATCCGGCTAAGGCTTTATGTGCTGACAGTTGTCATATTCCATTCAAGTCCAAATTTAGATCGCATGAACATGAATATTGCAGTCTATAACCTTGCTAACTTTTAGCATTATTTGACTTTACAATGACGGGGTACTTCCCTGTGCCTGCACGAACGTCAATCGTCCATTCTACAAGATCCTACGACTTTTGGAGTTCAAGGTCTTTTTGAAATACGTTGATCGACTGAATATTGAGGGTTATATGCCAGTCACCGTGGTGGAAAAGGATCACTTAGGGGATATCTACGAGAATTCAAGTGGCGCTGGCTTTAATACTGAAGACGAACTCTTTCTCCCATGTCAGGACAAGGAATGTTTACTTGACCACATACCTCCAGAGGTAGTACTGTACAAAGGGAAGACGGGGTGCAAGAGTAGACCACTTGATATTTTCTTCCTAAGGCTTCCAGGTCTCAGAAATTTGGTATGGTATTCAATTGTTCGAACCGGTTTACACCTTGCCTTCTAGACACACTACACCGATACATGTCAGGCTGTTCCTAGGCTTCACACAGAAGTCTCTTTTAATGGCACATGGTTGTGTCGTCATGAGGCGCTATCAGGACTCACTAGCCCGGAGATCATCAGTGAAATCGAATCGAATGCTGTTAGCGAAGGAACAAGCAAGTACAATGGACCTAAGGAGTGACTTTTGGCCTCGGGATCAACCTAACATATGCGCCTGATTTTGGCATGGAACGTTGTTCTTCCTACTCATTGTGGTGGAAAAAGAAAGCAGTCCTAATACGTTCGAGACACAGCCTAGGAGGGATAGTTGGAAAGAAAGGTGGGGAGCGGGACAGGAAATGAAAATCGAAGAAAGAGTGATTCAGGACACCTCACTAAACGCAACAAGTGTCTAATCGCAGTGCAGCTCCTAGTGGAACGGAAAGATCTTATAGTCGCGCCAACAATGGTATTCGGCGTCTGAAATGAGATGTATAATATCGTTACGTTCCACAGACGAAACATGAGCGGAAACAATGATACTCCACACGCCCCTTTGCCCAATTCAATGATACGAAGCGGAAGGCAAGCTTGAGCAATATATGGTGCTCTGAGGGCTATATCGACCCGACCCGAGCCAACACATGAGGATCTTGACGTGTTTGCACAATTTTACTTTCCTTCATGTATCTCCTACCACTGTTCAGAAAGTATCACCTTCACAGACTTTGTCTAACCGGCAGAACACAACGAGGCACGACCTAAATCGCCGTTGATGACACTACCAACCCCAGAATGCGGCCATGTAGTCTACTGCCCATCTGTAGGCATGTTCTGAGTCTCCACCGTGAACTTTTAGGTGTGTGTTGAATATCCTCAAATCAATCCTCAAACTGAATCTGTATCTTCTTTTCAAGGACTTGTAAAGTAGAGTGGTCTTTTGACTCTACTCCGGAGGTTGAATTCAGTTGACCCCTGCTCCGAGCTACAGCATTGTTTTTCAACTTTCCCGAGCTTCTTGACGGGATTGAATCATCTCACCCATAATAACGCATATGCCGAGCCAATCTGATGTCCAAATGGAAAGTCACCCTGGACCGAGCATGCAATACATGTATACAAACAGAAAAGATTATGGGGAACCATCCACAACTTTGAAATTTATTCTAAACTTACACAAAGCCCTTTTCAGGCCTGGGTGATCAAAGCCCTTCAAGCTTTGATGCTGGTCATATGACTGTTCATATAGGAACTAGTTTGTGCTTCTTGAGAGAGGGTGATGGCCATTAGTAGTGTAATGTAACGGCTGAGGATTGGGGAAGGATAGTAGTGAGTGAGAAAGCAGCGATTCGCAATTCGAAAACGGGAACTATGGTTGCGTGAAGGAAAGGACGTTTTACCAGTTAGCCAGAAGATTTTCAGACATCAAAGTATCTCTCTGGAAGGTCGGAAAATTTGCAAATGTGAATCCAGTTGTAGGGCTTCTGCGGAATAGAATAATTTCTTGAATCCGTCAAGTGGATGATGAGAAAGACTATTGTTCCATGAAGATATGATGAGGGTTAAGTGTTAATAAGAGGATAAACCTGCTCAAGCCGTTGATGCTGTAACTTATTAGAAGAAAAGCAGCGAGTAGGTAAGGTAGAT